ACTATGGGATAGATCGGAGGATCTCTCTGTTCTACATATGTTTGTTGTGTGAAATAGCACCCTAAAAAATGTTGACGTCACACTCAAATAACCTATTCTTAATATTTTATTCAAATTTAATTTTCTAAAACAAGGCATAACAATGCAAAAAGTTAAAATCTTCATTTTTCTATGCTATGTAAAACTTGTATAAATTTTTAAAAGCCTTAACAATGTATACAAACGCGTACACATACAAAAGTGATTCATTCTCAATATATTATTCAGTTTGATTTTCTGAAATAAGACATAGGTATCGTTTAATAAAAGTCCTTTGCTCATATTGAAGAGTACTCCGAATTCTTAAAATATCCATAAAAGGCAAGAACGTGAACCGATCCCTTCCTCGTGTATCCTCCGGAAGCGAGCGTCGTCAATGGAATCGCGAGCCGGTTCATCGCATGCACACGATAATCGTGAAATGAAATGTCACTTACGCGAGCCCCATCTTTGAGCATCTGCGCCACGCCAGGCGCCTTCGGTATGTGCATAGCCATTTTTGTTGGAGATTTGGAAAAATCGTTTCTTTGATCGTTGTGCGGCACCACGTTCTCACGTTTCGTTCCAACAGGATGGAAATTGGTGGAGGTGGACTAGGACCAATCTTCCATATTATGAACGAGACATTGAAAAAAGCGCCTCTAGTAGAAACTGAAGTCAACTAAATCAATGTGGCATTTCCTATATTATTATTATTATTTATTAAGATGCCTTTTCAAAATAGGCCACATGAAAATTGAAAAATTATCTTAATCGTTGGAGAATTTTGATCACGTGATCTTTTTGACGCTATGAATGAAAGCCGAGCGTCAACATGAAATTATATTATTATATTTGTTGCACTTTATATTTTGTATCTAATAAATATCATATTTTTGTTCCGTATAATCCTCCTTCCATTTTTCTGTAATTTTATAAATTATGTATTTACATAAAATATATATATTTCGAGAAGAAAAATCATTGCTCAAATTTTGTTTCTTTTTTTAATTTCAAAGATTTTTTATGTCTACATACAAAGAACAGAAAAGATATAAATTTTGAATTATAGCACACTTATTCTCTGTTATAATTTATTAGTTACTATTTGAAATATATAGAAATTTATAGGTTTTCATGGAAACGAATGTTTGCACGGCTCCCGTCTCGTTATTCTGATTTTGAACAGTCATAAAAAAATTCCGCGATAACCTACTTGCTGGTATTTATCTCGCTTAGCCTTTCGTGCTCCGGCTATTTATTGTCATACAATTTATTATATTATTGCATTATTGTCAATGTTTGAATTATGATACATATTTTTTGAGACGAATTTTAAATAGGCTTTCTAGGTATCTGAACAAAATACATTATTCTGTTCTTCGCAACGAATGTTCACAAGTCCTTGATTTTAACAGATCATATCTTCCCATGTTTTAGAATTTATCAGAAGGGATTATCGATTTGAGGACTTAGCGAAAGTATACTGAAACCACGGCATGACAAACACTGGAGGTAAAGTAATCGCCAATCTGCGACAAAAATTCGTGTCGCCAAAGGTGTTGCGATGGTTCCCTGGGCATATGACGAAAGGTCTAAGACAGATGCAGCAGCGATTGAAAAATATCGATTGCATCCTAGAAGTTCACGATGCTCGGGTACCAATCTCCGGACGTTATGCAGACTTTAGCAGAACTTTGACCGGCTTGAAACCACATATACTTGTACTAAGCAAAAAAGATTTAGCTGATACGACATGCACAGACAGTATAGTTTCTATGTTGAACAGAGAAGGACTGTTCAACATAATCTTTACAAACCTGAAAAATCAACATTGCAAAGGCATGAAGCAGATTTTGCCTCTAGCCAAGAAGTTGATATTAAATTCACAACGTTACAATAGAATGAAAGAAGAGTCTTACTCCATGATGGTCATTGGTGTACCCAATGTTGGAAAATCCTCTCTGATTAATTGTTTGAGAAACAATCATCTTCGTCTTTCGGGCAAAGCTACTCCTGTTGGTGCAACGGCTGGTATCACTCGAGCCGTAATGACTCATATAAAAATATCAGAGGAACCTGTAGTATATCTAATTGATACTCCAGGTATCCTAGCTCCTTCCATTAATGATATTCATACTGGCTTTAAGCTGGCTTTAGTAGGATGTCTGCAAGATCATGTAGCAGGATCGCATCTGCTTGCAGATTACCTATTATATTGGCTGAATAAAAATGGCAGATTTGAATATGTAGAGAAATTAGGTTTGCCAGAAGCAAATGATAATGTGTCATATGTACTCACATTTATTGCTGCAAAGTTGGAAAAAACCGTGAAAATAAAAACTTACAACAATCAAAAACAAGTCATGCCTGATTTAAAATTCGCAGCAGACTACTTCATTAGTTTATTTAGGAAAGGAGAATTTGGATCCTATTGTTTAGATATAGATTTACTAGAGACCTCACAAAATTGCAAAGTTAATTTAGCGTAATAATAATTGTCTATGTAAATATTGTATATTTATTTATAGAAATAGTTTTTAATCAAATACAAATCTTTGTAATTTTCCATGACATCTGATATTTGAATGATCCTAAATGAGAAAATAACCTTAAAGAAGTTACCTTTCGCTACACATTATTTTTAAATAAAATTGAATAACATTCGATTATTATTAAGATACTGAATTTTATTTTATTGTGAATGTCTTGTATATGATGTAAAAAAAATTCTTTTATCATAAATTAAAAAAAATGATAAATATATGAAAATGTAAAATAATCCTTAGATAAAAAAAGTGTATAATTGCATCAGTATATTGTCCCCACCAGTTTTATAGTCCTGTTACTTTCTATAACTGCTTTCCGCGAAAGTAGGGCAACCGTTTATTACACCTGGAAGACTTCTTTCATATGTTTTTCATATGTTTTCATTGTGTTACCTTTAAAATCTACACGGGAACATATTCCACTATATTATTATGACATGAAATAATCGAGCAATTAAATCCTATTTAAAAGATTTATCGTTATATCAATATCGTGGGGAATCTCAAGCCTGCAAATCACGAACTTTCTTTAAATTTTTCAAACTCAAAGGCACTTGAATCATCACTCGAGCTAACGCTTCTCTCGAAATTGATTTTTAGCAAAAATGTTTGCGAGGGTAACGTTTTATCCAACCTTGCTTTATAACATTGTTATGGAAAAAATTACGACTCGGAATTGGTACGATAGAATAGACGAGACTGTTATATTGGGCGCCTTACCACTTCGACGAACAACTAAACAGGTATGATTTCGTAAATTTATTTTTATAATAATAAATTATAAATCAATAAAATATTTTATATATATTATAGAAAATCACAGTAATATCTTGCATTTATGCCTCCATAGTTTTTTATTTTATATCTTTCTTATATTATCTTATTTTATCTGCATTTATTTTTTAATAATGTCATAAAACGTACATTATTACAATTAATGTTACATTATTACAATTTAATGTTTTAGTTTCAAGATAATTTTTAATTTTAGTCTATAATATAATGGACCTATTCTTCTATGTAATAATATACATTAAGAATATGTCAGAAACATATGAATTATTTAAACAAATAAAGTTCATGCGTAACCACAAAGTAAGTTACAAATATTCAAGTAATGTTATATACAATTTATATTTTACACTTCTGTTCTTTTTTCTTTCAGTTGATAGACAATGAAAATATAAAAGCTGTTGTGTCTATGAATGAAGATTATGAATTGTCTTTAGTATCAAACGCGGAAAAGGTACGCGATTAAATAAAATTTAAATTTGGAAATTTGGAATTAATATGAAAGTTAGCAAAATAGAAACATATATAGCTTGTATAATAATACTTTTTTTCTCCATCCAGGAATGGCGCAGGTATAACATAGAATTTTTACAGTTGTCTACAATAGACATCTTTCAAGCACCTTCGCAGGAAAAATTACAGGACGGTGTAAATTTTATTAATAAATTTCGCAATGTATCAGAAAAAAAATTAGATAATCCAGGTTACGACAATAATCACAACCAATATGGCACAGTTTATGTTCATTGTAAAGCAGGAAGAACAAGAAGTGCAACATTGGTCGCGTGCTATTTAATAACAGTGAGATCATATGGCATGATTTCAATGCAAAACTAAGAGACTTTTAGTCATTGATGGTGAAATATTTTTTTTCGTTTTTCTAGAAAAATAATTGGACTCCTGAAGAAGCGGTTAATTACATGCGAACGAAGAGACCACATATATTGCTTCATACAGCACAATGGTCTGCGTTGAAGCAATTTTATGCGAAACATGTACAATGTCCTAACTAAAACTTTTTTATATATTTGTTGATGTTACTTTATAACAAATGAAAAGTATATATAAATATATATAAATAGATAAACAAAGACTAATTTATTTAGATACTACCCTAAATTACGTATATATCCATTCAAATAGAAAGAGTGAAGAGATAAAATGCAGTATAAAAATAAATCATTCATTGATTTTTATTATTAGTGCTCAACTTTTTTTACATGCGCAGATGCAAATTTGGTAGCTTCTGTAATTGCTTCTTCCATACGTATCTGAAAATCCTGTGATACTTTTGTAGATTTCATACTTGCGACCAACATAGGTTTGAATCCCTTGATAGATCCATATTCTGCATTAAAAATTTGAAGGATGATATTCATCCAAGTTTGTGCATTAAATGCACTAGAAGCTATTTCCTAAACACAATAATAAGAGTTTATTTACATTGTTTACGTTTTGATATATATATATATAAATTCCATTTATCATATTGTTATGATTTATATTGAAATGTTATAAATACTTATAAACATATGAATAAAATATACCTGTGGCATGGAACATCTTGCTTTTACGAATCCATTTGTACATGACAGAATTAAAATTGGCATCTCAGAAAAGAGAGAAACAACTTCATGCAATGACAAATATGTGGGATTTTTATTCAGACAATACACAATAAAACAAGATGATGAATCCGTGGCATCAATGATTTCATGAGTTATAGAATCTCTATTAAAAATCATTATTAAATATTCAGAATTAAATAGATTACTCATGTATACATATATAATATTACACATACTTTTCAATTTCTTTCTCTCGCAGCCATGCTATCTTGCTCAAATTCTCCAGCTGTGTCAAACATTTCCCTTTAATCAAGTAAGGTAATGGTACTTGTATATCCTGAGCATTAATTTCTTGTTTTATTCGATTTAATTCTGTATTAAATAGCTCATACATGAATTTGCCACTTCGTAAAATATATTCTAGCTCTGCAATTCTCTGACATATATTTTCACCAGCTTGTTTCATATGTAAAGCTCTCGGACCAACAACAGCCTTAACAGTGCGTTTTGTTGCTCCTTTTGAGGTATATGTTAAAAAGCAGAAGTGTTGCAGTACATCAGTATTATGTACATGCGTACCGCAACACGCTTCCCTAAAAATACATAATTGATATTAACGTAAAATCTAGTTTAGAAAATTTGATGTTTAAAATTCAGATTCACTAACTTTGCTTTCAAATCATCAGTATTAATTTCAACGATTTTAATGTCTGTGTAAGGATATATCTCTCCTGGAAGTAACATAACATCATTTTGCTTTAATAATTCAAGCGAATTCACAGTTTGCACAGTCGTTACAGCACGAGACTGTATGACATTGTTAATACAATCTTCTATTGTCTGCATTTGTTCTAATGTAAGTTGTTCGTCTAACGAATTAAATTGAAATTTTAAACTATCCATATCGACTGAACATCCACGTTGATAAATTATTTGCATAACTTGTTTTAAGGCTGCATTCAATAAATGTGCTGCTGTATGATGTTTCATCGCTCCAATACGAATATTTGATTCTATATTGACTAGACAATCATCGTCTATTTGTAAATGCAGCTCCGATATACTTGAAAACAGATTTGTGTATTGATTATGAATATTTTTATGAATATTATGGATATTTTTACAATTAAAAGATAATTAAAAAAATAATTAAAATGAGTTTTATAATTATTTAAATATATCTAAATGTAAAAAATATGAGACACTTACGGTAAATCTGTTTTAGCAAAATATCCAGAATGAATCACATAGCTATTTACTTTTCTAACATTGTCTATATTAAAAAGTAGATTCTTAATACGAATATTCCCTTTATCTGAAATTTGGCCACCTTCTAATGAATAACATATAGTCTTGTCCAAAATAATTCCAATCTTATTTGTACTATTTAATATTTCATCGATATTTACAATTGTTTCAGTATTATTAGTTTTTATATCGGAATAATTTTTACTTGCAACTAATTCACCTACGATATACAACATAAATCCAATTTTAGAGTTGAATGATATAAGTTAAATAATTGAAATATATGATAAAAATGTACATAATTTATTTTAATATTACCGTTGACAATAATTCCAATGAGTTTACTGTTAAGTACTGGAAATTCGTAGGTATTTCCATTATACGTATAATTATACTTGAATGAATCATCTGTCTTAGGTATATGATTTTTTTTAAGTATTCCTAAAGATTCTTTAGTAATTACAGTACTATGTTTGTCTAATCCAATCCTTGACTGATATTTACGATTATCAAGTTGCTTTTCAAAATCAATTTCATCAAAGTATAAACATTCGATTTGTGCCAGTTCCGCTATAGTTTCTGAATTCAGACCGTATGTATCATACAGCTTAAATGCGACAGTTCCAGATAATACATTAGTTTTACGTCTGTAAATAATATTAATATGTGTACTAATTTATTATGTCAAATTATGTAAAAAAAGGTACAATTAGAAAAAAAATATCTTACAATTCTTTCAACATGGATTGTAGATCTTTATAGCCATCAACTAAACCAGGAGCCATCCAATCAGTAACTGCTATTAATTCGGGACGAGTTTTAATCATCTCATTCCACATTTTACCAGAAGTATTTCGTAATCTTTTGAATAAATCTTCTTCAAAATCTATTATTCTTTGTACCTAACAAATTACATCTAGTATATTAATTTAAGATTATGTAAACTATGTCTCAATAAGATGAGCTTAAAAATTTCATTTTTTTATACATTTTAGCCGTTTTAATCTTAATTATTTTACCTGTTTTAAATTAGTGTGCAATTCTGGATAAGTTACACCCAAATTATCAGCTACATTGCAAGCAAGTTCTGAAACTATGCTAGATTTTCTGAAGATTTTCTCTCCTACATCCATTGCATGTCGCAATATTTTTCGCAGTTTTGGACTGAAATATATATATATAAAATTATTATATATATATTTATA